TGATTCTATCTTAAAATCTCAAAGAAGTATTTATGACAAAGGGGGCATTGGATTTGATTATTCTAAAAAGCAAAAGACTTTTAAAAATTCTTTTGTAAGAGCAAGTCAATCGTCTCATCCTAATGTTACTTGTTACTGTTGTAGTGCAAAAGGACACTTTGCCTATGTATGTCCTTTGAAGAGATTAATAGCTCAAGGTAAAGTGAAGCAAATTTGGGTTCCAAAAGGAACTTTAAGCACTAACCCTCATGGGCCCAAGCAAATTTGGGTACCAAAAATCAAAACTTAATTTTGTTTTCTAGGTAAAGTTGATGGCAAAGTCAAAAGAAGAGCAAAGTTGATCTTAATAAAGACTTATGCCTCAACAAGAATGTTGGAGTGGAAGTGCAAAGGAAATTTGTTTTTGAATGCTCCACTCATGTGCTCCAATTGGTATTATTTATTTTATTGCATTTATTTATTGAGTATAATTACTTCAACATGATTATTAATGATTTGTTTATGTGTGTTCACTCTTTGATATATATGCTTGTTGAATATGATATCATTTGATGTGATTATTAAAATTTGTGCAAATTAATGAGCTTGGCATGTTAAATCCTAATGCTTGATATGATTTTTGAAATTAATGTATTTGCTTATTAAAATTTATGCATATTGATGACTTTGATATGTGTACCTTGATTATATTCATGCTATTTGATAATGCATACATTGATATATGACTAAAGTTGTATAATTTAGTAATTGATGTCCAATTTAAACTTAGTTAAATGAAGAGATATCAAATTAAAGTGCATTGTCTTCCAAATAGCCTCGAACCTTTTATTTGTACCAATCAAGGCTAGTAGAGTCGGTTGCAACTTCTTCATAGCCGGCTCACCCAAAATCCCAAGAGTTTTCTCTCTCTAAGATTGAGTCGGCTCCAAGACTAAAGCTGGCCCTCTGTCAATCTTTAAATATTTTGGGCTTCTCTCTCTTTGAACCAAATCTGTTATTTTCTCAACCCGCAGGCGCAGGCGAATCCGACCCAAACCCGATCACTTGTGTTATCATGCTTTGTGAATGCTAATGGCATCACTTGTGTTATCATGCTTAATGGTTGTCTATGATTTTGATGATTGTATGCTTTTATTGAGGGGGAGCATTTTGTGCTTAAAATTGCTCTTCTTAATAGTTATCATGCTTAAATGCTTTAAAGATTGATGTGCATGAATTAAGGGGGAGTTTATTGATTATGTGCCTTTTGATGAATGACAAAAAGGGGGAGAAAGTATATTGAATTGTCATAATTTTTTGGAATGTCTTAATGTCTTAATGTCATTTTCTTGGTGTTGAAATTTTGAGGTTAATATTGAAGTATATATGCTTTCATGATCAAAGTGTTTTGTCATCATCAAAAAGGGGGAGATTGTTGTACCTATGATTTTAATGATTACAAAATATATTTGAGTGACTAATTGATTTATTTAAGTGTGTAGTTAAATTACCAATATACTGCAAAGTAAGCAAAATGAGATTGCATTAAAAAGGCCTCAAAGGGTAAAAATATGCAAAGAGCCAACTGCAGATTTTGTTGAGCCAGTTCTACAAGCCAGAAATTCAACTGCTGTTTGGGCGCGCGTAGAAAATAGAAGCAGAGCCGGCTCCCACTTTGTAGCCGATTGTGAGGGTGCATTTAATGCATAACGATCGAGTTATTTGAAGATTATTTAATATGTTTAAAGTTGGAATCCTAAAGCCAGCTTTAGGCTTTGCAGCCGGCTGTGGAAGAAAACAGAATGTGTAGGAATCCCGCAAAACCGGCTGCAGAAATGTTGAGCCGGCTGTATAGAGTCGGCTCTAGGAAGCTGAGCCGGCTCTCTTGACAATCCTGCAACTCGACCTTTGCATCCTGCAAAACATTTAATGACTCCCAACGGCTAGAAACGACTATTTTTGAGCAAAGGGTTATAAATATGGTTGGTAACAGATCTGAAGAAGTTTGGAGAGCATTATATTGAATATCTTTACCTACCAACTTGTGCTTTAACTAGAGATTTTGATCTTTGAGAGATCTTTGTTTGTAATCCTCTTCTTGTGCTATTAGTGAGTGATCTTGGGGGTGTGTTGATTCCTTCAAGAGTGATATGTAGAGAGGATCTTTGGGGTTTAAGTGTAAAGGGGTGAGATTTGAGAGAAACACCCTTCTTCTTGTAAAGGATTGAGTGGCTCCTTTAAGCAACCATTGTTTTTGTTAGTGGAGAGTGTGGAGGAATCCTTGGTGAGTGAAGGCAAGGTAGAGGACTAGGCTCCAAGTGGTTGGACCGAACCTCTGTAAAATCATTGTGCAAGCTCTTCTTCTCCACTCTCTCTTTAATTTTTGTTTGGTGGTTGCAAAGAAGTAAAAATTCTCCAACTCCAATTCACCCCCCTCTTGGAGTGCATTGAGTCAACACTATAAGGGCACAAAATAAATAAACCCTTTTATTATTAGGTTTTTCTAACCTTTGACCTTAGTAGTGCATTTATTGCATATTTTTTCCATTAATTCGTATGAAAATTACAAAAAATAAACATTGTTTTCAACACTAATGTCATGTTAATAATTTTAATTGGGTAGTTGACAAAATTAAAGTCTACTTTTATATTTTCATGAAAAAATGTGCAAAAAATACATTCTTAATTTTGTTTGAAAAATTATTATTATTATTTATCTTTTCTATGATTTTTCTCTTTTTTGTGATATTTAAGAAATTTTAAATTTTTAAATTTTTATAGAAAATTTTGAAATAAATTTAGTGAAAAATTGGGTTACGATATTGAAACAACCAAAATTAAAGCCCACTACTAATTTAACAACTTTTCGAGTTAGGATTTGTAGGCTTTTAAAAGCTTAAACTCAAGTTATTAACAGTAGTTGGTTATTTATATATCAAACTCCTTTATAGTTCCCCACCAATGTGAGACCATGGTTTTGGCACCTAGTTTTCTTGCTACTAATGACCGTCCTTACACAAAGGAAAATCTCTAAGTTTCTCCAAGGGAGGATTAGATAAAAGTGACAGAGACTTCTCTTTTTACACTTTGGCACTTCTAGCAATGATTTGCTTTTATCATTCCACTTATGTAGAATTGCTTTGTTCAAATCCCTTAGTTATATTTTCCACATTTTGGCTAGCATTACCTTCCTTTGTTTGTCAAACATGAGTGACAAGATGATGGCCCCAAGATTTGACCATAATCATCATCTTGTTTAACAACAAGATGAAATCTACTTCTTTATGTCATCTAAACCACTACTTTTACAATCTTTCCTACTAATAACATGGGCTTGGTTTCATAGGCCGTACAACCTATGACAAGTATTCTTGTCCTTAGAAACCAATAAATCTTAAAAGACAAGTATAAAGTGTTGAAATAGTCTTCCTTATAATTGTTGTTGAATCTTGGCACTTTTGTCCATGTTGACAAAGATTGTTGTTTGACAACCTTTAATAAGTGCTTAACAAGTCTTGTCTCCTCGTCATTTGACATATTCACAAGTAAGTTATCGGGGAGTATTGTTAAAAACTTTTTGGTCAACCATGAGAACATGGGTAGTGTTGAAGATGAATTTGATGTACATGAGAACATAGTTTGTTCCATCTCACTAATTAAATAATTAACGAAGGTGTGATTGTTTCCAACTCAACAATAAAGTGTTAGAGGCATGACACAATAAAACATTGGGGGTGTGGCAAGTGCCATTTTGTCAATATTTCCATGGACATGGCAAGCTTTGTCTCGTCAATGAATTGACAAAGATATGGTGAGCTTTTATCTTATCATTCAAGTGATAAACATGTGGCAATCTTTATCTTGTCAATGAAATGACAAAGGCATAGTTAATGTCATCTTGCCAATATGCCATCTCCATCATATCTCGATCAGTGTCCATCAATAGGTTATTGTTAAATAAGTGTCTGTTAGGAAAATCTTGCCAAAATAAGTGACAAGCAAATTTGACAGCCATTGACAATGTAGACACTTATCATTAGGTGGATCTTTGGTAGAAGACAACAAAACATAAATGACACATATCCACCTTTGACCATGAGTTAAGACTTGGTAGTTTAATGTTGATAGTGTCATAGACCCAAATTAATTCTTGACAAAAACAACCGTTAATAATTCAAAAAGGGGTTTTATGAGATTCTTGGAATCTAGTATGGTTTGCTATGGTATGGTCCATATGACTTTGGCAAAACAAGAGAATATTTATGACTAAGGTTAAGCCCCATGTAAAGTATTTGATCTAACCAAATTTAGAACACTTTAACAGATTATGGCTTAGGTATGGAATGGCTTATCATAGGAACTATGGTACAAAACTCCCAAGAATGTGCTTAGAATGTTCAACTAAGACTTTGGATGATTCCTTTTAGTTAGGCCTTTTGCTTTATGGGTTGACAAGACTTTTTGATTGAATGGTGTGCTTTTTTTCTATTAATATGTGAACCTTAAATTTTGTTCATTTTGTAACAAGTGGATATACCTCGTATACTTCAAATGATAATATATTGTTGCTTGGGCAACTTCATGAACCTACACTATAGAAATCTTCAACTGTTTCAACACTTAAAAATCCCGAGGATGTTCCTTTGGGAAAAACACTCCAATGTTCAAGTTAGCCATACTTAATATTCTAGAGAGAGAAGCGTAATGGAGTTAATACCTTAAATAGAGGTAGGTGGGGGTATTTATAGCCCTTTGGTGTTGACATGAATCCATACATGTAATCATCCGATTGGTCCACGTATGAGAACTCATGTGGGTGTGTTTGGACAATGTCTAGGTTGCTATATGGATGTATCTTCATTTTGGGGCCTAGATATGAATGACTGGGCTTATTATACACGGCCGAGGCTTAGTGTTGGGCCTATTCCCAACATTATTCCCCCCTAACATTCGATTGACGAACCAAGGTAATTGTATTTGTAGCCTAGGATTCAGCCTTGAGAATGGGGCGTATGATCCTTTGATGTTGTGTACGACCTGGTTATCAGCCGAGCTGAAAAGATAAAATATAAGGTGTCCATGCAAGTGTGAGGTTTTGACTTGGACAAGCTGTAATATATTTGTGCAGAACCCCAGATGAGAAAGCCTTGGAGGAAAAGGTTACACTTAGATGACTTGACCATAGGGCGGCCTCATCTATTAGGGTGCGATTAGGGACCGGGCACTATAGCGATCTTGCTCGTGTGAACACAACACATTAGTGAACTCAACAAGCTCATAAAAGGTGAGCTCGCACAATGAATCTTCAAACTTCTAAGTGGAGTAGGCCTAGAAGGGGGTAAAATCTCTTGTTAGGATGTATGTCGCATATGAAGTGTTACTTGGTGAGCTCGTCCACATTAAAAACTAAAAGGAATAGGCATATGACAACTTCAACTATGGTAATCTCTCAAAAATTCTAGAGTGGAGCGGATTTCAAAGTATGACGATCTCACCCCATGCATTTTGTAAATTTAAAACGAAGCGAAATGAGGTCATCCACACAATTGTGAAGATGCGCTAATGCGTGACGATCTCACTACTTCAAAATCTTAAGGAGGAAATCTCTAGAGATATATGTACAAATTTTTTAGGAGATACGGTTGGGCTCATTTTCTTAATTGTAGGAATGAGCTAACGGGCGACAATCTCATTAAAGGAAGACATCTATAACGATTTGAGCCCTGACCATTTTCAAAATTTAAAATGGAGCAAATCTCTGAAGAGATATGGTTTGTTATGATCTGAACCTTGGTTGTTTTCAAAATTTAAAATGAAGCAAATCTTTGAGGAGATATGGTTTATCCCTTTGCCTTCCCCACCATAAATACAGGCTCAGCATTTGAAGAGACGTGACAACTAAAGCCGGCAGATGTTACACGCTTGACCTTAAATAACTGCCACATGTAGAGTTCTAATTGGCGTGCCCAAAACATGCGTACGATGATTAAGGCTACATTTTCTGTTTTAAAAAGGGGAAAATGAAGCAATTGTATACCCATTTTCTGTTTCTCCTTCATTGCATTTTTTGTCATTCTTTACAGTAGAAGTCCTTGAAGCTTTTGACACGAAGTTCTGAAACCACAGCCACAAAAGGAATTTTCACGATGAATATTCAGGTAAAAATGGAGTTTTCTAGAGAACCCAGAGAGCTTCAGAGTAACTAGGATAGGGAGCAAGAAAAGGGGGTTATTTCTGCGGAACTGATTACAATGATAGTGCTACCAGAACTGCAGGACTTGCCGGAAATGATAACACTTGAGAGTAGAGCCAATTTAAGCGCACCTAGTGATTCCAGTAGCCGTCACTCTTCTCCATTTAAAGACTCTTCTTCAGCAAGGACATCTAGTGACGAAAAAGGTGTAGGGGAAGGTGATGTAGGGGTGGATGTACCTATGCTTGCTAAATGGGAGGGTGAAACCATCAATGGGAGGCTTAGTAACATCTGTCGAGCACCACAAAACTCGTCCGCTGGTTTTAGGTTCAGGGCATCACTTTATCATGAAGTGGCAAACGGTGTGGCCACCATCAAGGGGTATAAAAAGTTGGAGGAGATGGTGAGACAATACAAAATCCCCAGAACTATTTTGTTACTAGCTGGCACCAAGAATGAGAGAGTGTGCACAGTGTCTCGAACGGGATGGATTCTAGTGTACGTAGACCATTTTAATGCCGGTCGGCATTTTTCTTTGTCCAAGCTAATTTTTGATGATCTGGCAGAGTATGAACTGGCACTTGCGTAGTTAACCCCTAACAACATAAAGTTTATCATAGGATTTATGCTGTTGTGTGAGAGGTTACAAATACCTACAAAGACAATAGTGTTTAGGTCGCTCTTTTTGTGTTGGCTAAGCACCACTCGCTCAATTACCACTCAGACGAGGTGGTACTACATATTTGGAAGAGAGAAGATGATGATTTTCACCAACATAAGGAAAAAGGTCACCAGATGGAAGAGGTTATTTATTTTTGTTAAAGATACCCAAACAAAAAGGATTAATAATAAGCTGACTGCTTGTATTTCCAAGAGGCGCCTAGGTCACACATATATGAATTACCCCACGCTAACACCTGATGATATGGCTCTGAAGGACAGAATAGTAGATTATGTCAAGGCGGAGGGATTGGTCGACTTGGAAGCTTGGTTACCCCAAAGCAACGCGCGGTGCTTGGGTTTGTGGATGTCGCAAACCTATATACTAGAGGTATATCCCTATTGTAAGTTACACTTACTGCTGACTTGAGTCTTATTGCATTTGTTTGTGCATGAGAAATGAGCAACGTGTTGGAGAGGCAACGTGAATGACCTCAACGCTCAAGAGGTCATCGAGGAGAAAGTACTTCACAAAGGCATATGCATTTTGATGAGCGACCTATAGTGCCACCTTGCAGCTCATCTTATCGAGGTTCGAGCTCGGTATCAAGGCCTCATGCTGAGCAGAGAGTTGAAGTTGCGCCTTCAAGTTCTCGTAGACGCACGCATGAGGATTCTAATGCTAAAGATGACGTACCACTCATTTGGCAGAGAATGAGCTCTGAGGCTCAACCCGTTCAGCCCGTCATGGTACACTCGTCTAATGTGCCTCCAACCTCAGCACGTGACGCTGTGAAGACTATGCCAGCATCTACATCTGCATCCGATCCAAGGATTGTATACCTGGAAGGCTTCAGTTAAAAAGAACTAACTGCCACACTACCACAATTTAGGGTATGCAAAGTTTTATTCCCCCAGTGGACCGGCATCATGCAAAGGGCTATATACAACAGCATGGAGGTCATGCTGCTATGCTAAAAATGATGGACATAAGTACTTTCTTTAACATTTGTGTCAGTGTATTTTCTCTATTTTTTGCTAGAGACTAATATAGCATGAGTTGCGTGGTAGGTGTTCAGCTACGCGGTCGCACTGTTCAAGTGTGAGTAGGGACCTCGTGGGCAAACCCGCGACCTCGTTGAAATTGCAAGCAACTGACTTCTGAAAAGGCAAGCTTAAAAGATGAGGTCAATCGCTTGCAAGGCTTTGAGATGGCTAACCAAGCTGCATCAACTGAGAGTCGAGTTGACAGGTTGGCCAACCAAGTGAACGAGCTGAAAGAGGAACTGGAGAAGGCTCAAGTTAGAGAAGGGTCAAGCTGAGAGGGATAGTGGGATTTAAGCTGCAAAGGATGAGGCCGGTTGTGCTGAAGATTGCCCCAGAAATGTAGAAGTTGATAAGGACAAGACTCTGAGCGAGCTAAACTCCTTTAAGCAACGAGTGGCCATTGCAGACCAAAACCTTGCCCATGTTGAGGAGGGGTTGAAAAAAGCTAGAAGTTCTCATTAGCGCTCCATAAGCATCGCCCGAGCTCAAGGAGCAAAGTGGCTGGTTGGCTCTGAGATGTTTTAAGAAGCCATGACGGTCACCTCAGCCAATACCACGATAGAGATCTATAACGATATCCGTGGCAAGGTACTGCATCACCGGCCTAACTTCCTTATTGGCAAGCTGACCTTCTATGAGGGACAGGAGACAAACAAGTAAGGGAAGAGTCTTGCCCCTCTTGCTGATACAATAGTGAAGCTGAGGTGGGAACTGAACAAGAAGGGAGTGCCCATGTGGCCTCCTTCTGCGGTGGAAGAAAGAGAGGACATGGAGGGTTTGCCAAGCTTCGATGCTTGGGTGGCAACGCCACTTGAAGAGAAGGCTGAACCATCAAGTACCCCACTAACCTCTCAGCCTACCACTGCTCCAGCTCATTCTTCTTTAACACAACCATCTCTTGCTCAGGCTTCCCTTAATCATGCTGATGCGTCTACTCCAATAAATTTGACAAACGATTAGGATTTTATGTTTTGCTTCCTTCTGAATTTTTTGTGATGGTACTTTGGTATTTTGGACAATTTTCATATCTTTTCTTGTACTACAAACGATGATTTGTAAGAAATATAATTAGAGAGATATTTTTTTGAAATGTATCGTGTTTCATTTGCATTTCAATCACACACTATACATCTTCTCAACACGTTAAATAATAATACAAATGAACTGTAGTACTTCTTAAGATTATGTATGTTCCACGTGAACGGTAGTGGCCGACCTTGAGAATTTGCTAATAAATAAAACCCAGGTCATTTAATTTGAATACCCATGTAAGGACCTTCCCAATTAGGAGCGAGCTTGCCCATGTGTGAATATGCATTGGTGGGTCCAGCCTTGCATAAAACTATGTCACCGACCTGAAACTGATGAGCACGTACTTGTTTATTATAAAACCTAGCAACAAAACTTTGATATGCCATGTTTTTCATCCTAGATATTTCCCTAACCTCCTCCACAAGGTTTAGGTTTTCTCTTAGGAGATGTTCGTTATCAAAATTATTATGCTGAGCAGGCTTGTTAGGTGATAAGCCTACTTCCATAAAGAGAACAACAATGGGGTTTCTCCATAGTACCTTATTGAGCTCGTTAACCCAATTGGAGTGTGTGACTAAGATGCATGTCTTAAGTCCATGCAAAACAACTTTATTAGTTGATTCTGCTTGTCCATTTGACCATGGAGTATAAACGGATGTGAGTGACAGTTAGATACCATAATCATCATAGAAAGACCTAAGTGTCGTAGCTCGAAACTGAGAACCGTTATCAATGATGATTCGTTTTGGAATACCAAACTTGCACATAAACAACTTGGCTGAGCCACACAATATGTGCGGACGCAATGAATATGATTTAACCAACTGAAGCATACATGTATAATATGGAATTGAACAAAAACTCTTCTATCTCCTTTCGGTTGTTGTGGATAATGGCTTAGCTTCTATCCACTTAGTAAAGTAATCCACAGCAACAATCAGATGCATGCAACCTCCTTTGCCTTTAACAAAGGGGTCGAGTAGATCAACTCCCCATTGAGCGAAAGACTAGGGTAAGGTAAGAGAAGATAACATTTCCCCTATTTTCACAGAGATATTCTCATTTAGCTTAAAGATAAATGGGAAGTTTGTGTGAATTTTAGAACGAGCTCAGATACCTAGCAGGTGAATATCGTCTGCGTTAAATTGGCAGGTCGAACACTTTTTAATATAGCTTTGTGCATCATCGACCATAGTGGGCCAGTAATACCCATGCCTTAGGATTTTCCAAGCTAATGTTTTACTACCTATGTGTATGCCACACATTCCTTCATGAACTTCCCTTACAGCATATTCAACTTAATAAGGAATAAAGCAACATAATAGGGGCATTGACGCTGCTTGTTTATATAACTGATCATCGATTAAGGTGAAATGGGCCGCCCTGCACTTGATTAATTTAGCATCAGATGGGTCTTCAAGCAATTCATCACTTCGTAAATAATTAATTAGAGGTGTGGTCGAGCTTAGTGATGAGGGATTTGTGCTCAACATCTGGCATTCAGCTGTAGGGTTAGCATAGCTTGGAGCATCAAGAATCGCAATAAATGTTGTTCTTTGAGGATTGATATCTTGTGACGAAGTTAACTTTGATAGTTCATCAGCCTGCTTGTTGTCTCCTCTCGATATCTTATCAATTTGAAAGGAAACAAAGCCCAATTTCAGCTTGTTGACCACAGAGGCTTAACGACCAAGCTAAGGGTCTTTGATATGACAGCTTCCATTCACTTGGTTTACTATAAGCTGTGGATCATTGAAGACTCTTACATTCTGCGCTTTCAGCTTGGAGGCCAATTTCATATCGTAAATGAGTGCTTCGTATTCAATAGCAGTATTAGTCATCTGAAATTTGAATCTTAATGCATGCTTGGATTTAAAACCATTTGGGCCCATTAACACTGCCCCCGCCCTTAAGCCTTCGACATTTGTAGCTCCATCTACATACAACACCTATACAGGGCACAAAGGCGTGGTTTCTTCATAGATGCCCCTTTATAGCTGCCAAAGCTTGACCCTTTATAGCTGTACATGGCTTAAATCTCAAATCATATTCGCTCAACTCGATTGCCCTTCCAATTAGTTGACCAGAGAGTTCAGGTTTTGGTAATATCTTCCTTAGTGGTAGGTCGGTGAAAACAATAACCTAATGAGATTGAAAGTAAGCCTTTAGCTTTCGAGCGCTACAAACAAGGGTGAAAGCAGCTTTTTCAGCAATTGGATAGTTCTTTTCTGCACCCTGTAGGACTTTACTTGTATAACAGATGAGTTTCTAGTATTTATCTTGTTCCCTCAATAAAACTAAGCTGATGACTTCATCTGTAACTCTCAGGTATAGATATAACTTCTCTCCCTCAATAGGTTTTGAGAGTAAGAGTGGCAATGCCAGGTATTGTTTAAGCTCGTCAAAAGCCTACTGGCATTTGTCAGTCCACTGAAAGTTTTTAGGCTCCCTTAAGGCTTTGAAAAATGGAAGACATTTTTTAGCCGACTTTGTGATAAACCTGTGCAAAGCAACGAGACGGCCCATCAGACGCTGCACCTCTTTTATTGTCTTAGGAGGTTCCATCTGTTGCACAGCCTGAACCTTGTTTGGATTCACCTCAATTCCTTTCTTGGATACCATGTATCTCAAGAATTTTCCTGATTCTACAACAAATGTACATTTTAGGGGATTCAACTTCATTTGTGCTAGGCGTAAGTTTTGAAATGTCTTATTAAGGTTGTCAATATGATCTTCAGCTCACACACTGGTGACAATCATATTATCAACATAACTTCAATGTTCCTATCGATCTAAAGCTTAAATACGACCTAAACTAACTTTGATATGTTGCAACAACATTTTTCAAGCCAAACAGCATCATGACGTAACAATAGATGGCATCCCCCGTATAAAATGTCATTTTCTCTTGATCGTCCAACCATAGCTGAACTTGGTGATATCTTGAGTTGGCATCCAAAAAGCTCTTGCGTTCATGACCAGCTGCTCGCTCTACCAGCTTTTCAACATTGGGCAAAGGGTGTGGGTATTTGGGACATGCCTCATTTAGGTTTATAAATCAATGCACATCCTCCACCTGTCATTGGGCTTCTTAACGAGCACAGGATTGGACACCCATTGTGAATATTCAACCTGTCTTATGAAACCTACCTATAATAATTTTTGTATTTCTTCATCTATAGCAACCTGTTTCTTAAGGCCAAAAAGTCATCGCTTCTAAACCACTGGCTTCATTGTAGGATCTGTGCTGAGCTTGTGGACTGCAATCTCTGCTGGAATTCTAGGCATTTCATCTGTTCCCCATGCAAAAACATCCTAGTTGGACTTTAAAAATTCTAAAGGCTTGGCCTTTTCCTCCTGTGTGAGCTTAGTTTCGATTTTTACTGTCTTTTCTAGTTCATTAGGGTTTAAAGGGACTATCTCCACTGGTTCTACTCACTCAGCTTTCTACTCTATGTTGTCAGGTTGGTGATCTATGTTAGATATGCTCATTATCTATAAACCTACTTGGCTCGACCTGGGAACTTGAAAAGAAGAAGCCTTTGGTAGCTCAACAAGCTCAACTTTCTTAAATGTATCTTCATAACACGCTCTAGCCATTTTCTGGTTTCCCTTGAGCACTCCTATCCCCTGAGGAGTTGGGAACTTCATATAGATATGTGGTTGGGAAATGATAGCCTTTAATTCGCAAAGAGTGGCTATCCCTATTTTGGCATTAAAAGCTTATTCCATCTTCACTACCAAGAAGCTAACTGAGGCCATTCTAAAGCATGCTTCTATACGCACGTATATAGGGAGAGTGATTATCTCTTCAACAGGGATGGGCTAGTTATCAAATCCATATATTGGCCCTTCATACTTTTTTAAGGAAGCTGGGTTTAACTGCATCTTTTGGAAGCAGCTCCAATATAGGATGTCTGGAGAGCTACGCATGTCAACAAAGACCTTATTGACGTTGTAATTGCCTATGTGAACCATTGCTATGAAGGGATCAACATGGGGCATCATAACATTAGGTTGTCCCTCTGGTCATTTGTAATAAGTGGGACTAAATGTAATGGGTGCGTTCTCTAATTTTGCCTCATCAAATGGCCATTTTAGAGGCCTGTTCTTGTTTAATGTCATCACCTGGCGAGTATAGGCTTTACGCCTTGAGGCTCTCTAGCCTCCAGAGTGCATGCCACCAAAAATCATATTAATTATGCCAGAGGGCAGAGGTATCTCGGTATAACCTATCCTTCTATTGTCTTTTTGGTTCTGGGCTGAAGTCTTCTGCCCTTGTCCTTTTCTATTGTATTGGCATCCTTTATATACTCTACCAAGTTCAGAGGAGTATTGATTCCCTTGGTATGGGTTTTGACTATTATCGAGTTGGTACCCGTGCCCTTGAGGTCTGTTGTAATCTTGTACGAAGTAGGTTTGACTAGGCTGTTGGGTATAGCGTTTTTAGATATACCCTTCCAGCTTTCCGTTGTGAGCTAAGAATTCCAACTCATTTTTCAAACTTTGACAATCATCTGTATTGTGGCCATACCCATGATTATAGTCACAATTTTGCTTCTGTCTGCTCATGGGAAATCATGTAATGAAGGAGGTAGTCTTTTGACCCAATGTTGGATCTGTGCCAAGATTTGAGACCTTGACGAGCTCAGAGGAATGTAGTTAGCATATTTTGGGAATGAAGGTGGCTTTCCTCTATACTCGATGATTTTCTACTTTTTCTTTTCTTCTCTTCCTTCTGGTTGTTTGTGTTCTTTACTTTGCTTATCGTTAGCTCGTCGCTTGGACAACTAAAAGTCTTCTAATAGAATGAAGCTCGCCGATCTATCATTCACCTCATTTCATGACTTTGGCAGATTTTCCAATAGGCCGTCTAAAAACCGACCAGGCTTGAGGTTGTGCAACAAGGCAAACAAGCAGATGGTATCAGGGACATTATCAATGTCTAAGGTGGCCTTGTTGAACCACTGCATATAGTCCCTCAAAGACTCTTTTTCCCTCTGATGAACCTGCAACAGCTCGATAGCAGTTTGCTTTATCTCCCCCTGACTCGCAAATTTGTTAGAGAACAAAGTAGGGAGCTGGGAGTAGGAAGCTATGGAGTGTTTGGGAAGCTTGTGGTACCATCTTCTAGCAGTGGACTTCA